CATAGGACCCTGTTCAGGGGGGGGAAGGGACCCATAGGACCCTGTTCTGGGGGGGGAAGGGACCCATAGGACCCTGTTCTGGGGGGGGAGGGGTCCATAGGACCCTGTTATGGGGGTGAAGGGCGTGTTTGGGGGGTGAAGGGGGTGAAGGGACCCATAGGACCCTGTTCTGGGGGTGAAGGGGTCCATAGTACCCTGTTCTGGGGGTGAAGGGACCCATAGGACCCTGTCTGGGGGTGAAGGGACCCATAGGACCCTGTTCAGGGGGTGAAGGGACCCATAGGACCCTGTTCTGGGGGTGAAGGGACCCATAGGACCCTGTTCTGGGGGTGAAGGGACCCATAGGACCCTGTCTGGGGCCGAATGGGTCTACAAGACCCTGTTTTGGGGGTGAAAGTGTCCACAGGACCCTGTTTTGGGGGCGAATGGACCCATAGGACCCTGTTCTGGGGGTGGAGGAACCCATAGGACCTTATTCTGGGGGTGAAGGGGTCCATAGGACCCTGTTTGGGGGGTGAAGGGGTCCCCCAACAACAAAGCCCAAATCACCCCCATGGATCCCAAATCCCCCCCCTTCCTCCCAAAATCCCATTATCAGCCCCCCAAACCCCCCCCCCATCACCCCATATTACACCCCCTCAAAGTCCTGTATCCCCTCCATGTGGTACAAGGACAGAGCACCCCCATCACCATTACAAGCCCCAAACCCCCCAACAGTGGTCCCTAAACGCCCTCCCCCTCACCCTGTGTCCCCCCCCAAGCGATGCAGGGACATGGGGCACCCCCCAACAACAACCACGTGACCAGGCCCAGATCCCAACCCCCCCCTTCCCCATACCAGGGGGTTCCTCTTTGCCCCTTCCCTCCGCATCCCGGTTCTCCTCGGGGGCCCTCTCCGGGTCCCCCCCATCCTTCCCGGCCTTGCGGGGGGTGCGCAGCAGCGTCAGCATCACCGGCCGCCTGTTGCCTGTCTCCTCGTTCACCTGGACAACAACAGTCGGAACAATGGGGGGGGGGTTCCCTCTGTCACCATGGAATCCTGGCCTGGGATGGCTTGGGAATGATCCCATCCCATTCCCTATAGGGCCCATCCCTTCCCTGCAGCCATCAATGCAAGCGCACGGCTCCGGGGCACCATAAACGTGCTGAGGGGTCACTTGGTACCGGTACCCTTTTCCCCTCCATCCCTGTATCCTTCTCCATTCAATCCAAATGCCCATTTCCCCTTGATCCCAGTGCCCATCTCCTTTCCCCCTCCATCCCAATGCCATTTTCCCCTTGATCCCATTGCCCTTTTCCCCTCAATCCCAGTATCTTTTTTCCCTCCTTCCCAATTCCCTTTTCCCCTTGATCCTCCTTTCCCCCTCCATCCCAATGTCTTTTTCCCCTCAATGCCAGTCTCTTTTTCTCTTCCATCCCAGTGTTCTTCACTCAACCCCATTTCCTTCCTCCCTGCATCCCAATGCCCTTTTCCCCTTGATCCCATCTCCTTTCCGCCTCCATCCCAATACCCTTTCCCTTTGCTCCCAGTGCCCTTTCCCCTCCATCCCCATCTCCTCTCCACCCCATCCCCATTCCCCTCTCCCCCCCATCCCCATCCCCTCTCCCCTCCCTCCCCATCCCCTCTCCCCTCCATCCCCATCCCCTTCCCCCCCATCCCCATCCCCTCTCCCCTCCATCCCCATCCCCTCTCCCCCCCATCCCCATCCCCTCCATCCCCATCTCCTCTCCCCTCCATCCCAGTGCCCCATTCCCCTCCCTCCCCCATCCCCATCCCCGATCCCCATCCCACCCCCCATCCCCATCTCCATCCCCATCCCCATCCCTTCTCCCCCTCCATCCCCATCCCTTCTCCCCCTCCATCCCCATCCCTTCTCTCCCTCCATCCCCATCCCTTCTCTCCCTCCATCCCCATCCCTTCTCCCCCTCCATCCCCATCCCTTCTCTCCCTCCATCCCCTCTCCCCTCCCTCCCCATCCCCATCCCCATCCCCATCCCCATCCCCTCTCCATCCCCACCTGCACCATGGTGGTGAACTGCACGGTGTAGCGGCGCCGGCCGGCGGTGAAGCGCACGCTGGGCTCCCCGGCGCGCCAGGCGGCGTCGATGGTGCTGTTGTTGCTGGCGCTGTAACTGCACCAGCGCCCGGAGCGGTCGTCGAACCAGCGCCAGTTGTTGCCGCTCGCCTGCAGGTACTGGGGGGGGGCAGAGAGAGGGGACCCCAATTGGGTGTCATTGTCATTGTCCCCCCCCCACGGCCTGAGTCATTGCGATGGGCACAGTCTGGGTATGGTACCCCAGGATATCACGTGTCACCGCAGGTCATGTGTCACCGCGGGTCATGTGTCACCACAGAGCATCACGTGTCACTGCAGGTCATGTGTCACCCCAGGACATCATGTGTCACCCCAGGACATCACGTGTCACTGCAGGTCACATGTCACCCCAGGACATCATGTGTCACCCCAAGACATCATGTGTCACCCCAGGACATCATGTGTCACTGCAGGTCACGTGTCACCCCAGGACCTCATGTGTCCCCCCCAAGACATCATGTGTCACCCCAGAGCATCACATGTCCCCCCAGGGCCTCCTGTGCCTCCCCCCGAGGACCCCACATGGGCCCTCAGCACCCCCTATGTCCCTCCCCCAGGACCCCATGGCTGATCCCCAGGACCCCATGGGTGTCCCCAAGACCCTATGTGAGTCCCCACATTCCTCCTGCAGGACCCCCTCAGAACCAGATGGGTCCTCTTAAGCACCCATTGCCTCCATCATCCAGGACCCATCCTAAGCTGATCCATCCCCATCCCATCTACTTCCCTGTATCCCATCTCCTTCCATGTATCCCATCTACTCCCATGTACCCCATTTACTTCCATGTACCCCATTGTGTCCCCCCAATCCCCCACCTTGTTCATCTGAGCCCTCCTCTTGGAGGACACGGCCGTCTTCTCATAGAAGTCAATGAGCAGCAGGACGGGGGTGATCCACCTTTGGAAAGGGAACAGGCACACAGGTGTCAATGGGGAGCGGGGGGGGGCTATGGGAGGTTTTGGGGTCCCCCCCCTTTCCTTACTTGGGGGTCTGCACCTCCTTGTGCTCCTTGGCAGCCTGCAGGCAGGGCTGCACCACTTCCAGCAGCTTGATGAGGACATCCAGGACGCAGCTCGATTCCACCACCCGAGCACAGGGCAGCTTCAGCTCCTGGTGTAAAGGGGGGGGATCAAGGGGAACCCCACGTTCCGAGGGTCAGGAACACCCCAAAAGCCAACAAACCCCATAGAAAACCCCCAAAAGGGAACACTTTGACCCAAAGAGTTGGGTTTGTGAAGATGGACAATGGTAGGAGAACATCACTGACACTGAAGCGTAGAGGAGAAAGGGGATGATTCCCCCCCTATATTTTAAGGTCTCCCCATGCATTTTAGGGTCCTCCCCATATATCTTGGGGTCCTCCCCATGTATTTTGGGGTCCTCCCCATATATCTTGGGGTCCTCCCCATGTATTTTGGGGTCCTCCCCATATATTTTGGGGTCCTCCCCATATATTTTAAGGTCTCACCACATATTTTGGGGTCCTCCCCATATATTTTGGGGTCCTCCCCATATATTTTGGTGTCTCCCCCATATATTTTGGGGTCCTCCCCATATATCCTGGGGTCCTCCCCATATATTTTAAGGTCTCCTCATATATCTTAGGGTCCTCCCCGTATATTTTGGCATTCTCCCCATATATTTTGGGATCCTCCCCATATATTTTGTGGTCCTGCCCATATATCTTGGCATCCTCCCCATATATCTTGGGGTCCTACCCATATATCATGGGGTCCTCCTCATATATTCTGGAGTCCTCCCCATGTATTTTGGGGTCCTCCCCATATATTTTGACGTCCTCCCCATGTATCTTGGGGTCCTGCCCCCCATATATTTTGGTGTCCCCCTATACATTTTGGGGTCCCCCCTCCACCTACATCTCCCAGCCCTCACCTCGAAGAGCAGGGTGAGCAGAAGGATGCGCGTGGCCAAGTTGGACGCTTGGGGCAACGTTGCCATTTGGCTGATCCATTCGGACACGGTTTTGGTGTCGCTGGTGGTGAGGGGCAAGGCTGCCTTGATGAGGACATCGGCTGCTTCCCACACCTGGGTTATGGGGAGATGGGGTTAGAAAAGGGGGGGGTGTTTGGGGTGTGATGGGATGGGATGGATGGGGGGACCCCACCGCCCTCACCTGCTTCACCACCTGCTTGAGCACGGAGTCGCGGTAGGCGGCCCCGTTGCGCTTGATGGCGGTCATGATGAGGTCGCAGACGCGGTACACGGTGTCGGGGAGCTCGTCCAGGAGCTGCGAGCACCCCGGGAGCATGGAGTCGGTGAAGGCCAAGAGCTCGGCGGCTTCCAAGGGCTCGGCCCCCTCGAACTTCTCCAGGCTCTTGGCTTCCTCCTCCTCCTGGCGCTCGCGGGCGCGGCGCTCCTCCTCCTCCTTGCGGCACGCGGCTTCCTGGGGGGGGAGAGGGAGGGTTAGGGGGGGAATGGGGGTTTGGGGGGGGGGGTGGGGGTTTGGAAGGGGGGGGGTTTGGGGGAGAAATGGGGGTTGGGGAAGAAAAAATTTGGGGGGGTAGGGGTGGGAAATGGGGCTTTGGAGAGGGGGGATTGGGGTTTGGGGGAAATGGGGATGGAGAGTGAGAAATGGGGTTTTTGGGGGTGGGAAATGGGGTTTGGGGGGAGGGAATGGGGATAGGGGGTGGGAAATGGGGGTTTGGGGGGGAAATGGGGTTTGGGGCGCACGGGGTTTGGGGGTGGGAAATGGGGGTTGGGGGGGTGGGAAATGGGGGTTTAGGTGTGGGAAATTGGGTTTAAGAGGTGGGAAATGGGGTTGAAGAGTAGGAAATGGGGGTTAAGGGGTGGGAAATGGGGTTTGAGGGGGGAAATGGGGTTTGGGGGTGGGAAATGGGGTTTTAGGAGTAGGAAATTGTTTTTTTTGGGGGGAAAATGGGGATGGAGAGTGGGAAATGGGGTTTTTGGGGGTGGGAAATGGGGGTTTGGGGGGGGGAATGGGGTTTGGGGGAAATGCAGGTTTGGGAGTAGGAAAGTGGGTTTAAGGGGTGGTAAATGGGGTTTGAGGGGGAAATGGGGTTTGGGGGTGGGAAATGGGGTTTTAGGTGTAGGAAATTGGGTTTTTTTTGGGGGAAAATGGGGATGGAGAGTGGGAAATGGGGTTTTTGGGGGTGGGAAATGGGGTTTTGGGGTGGGAAATGGGGGTTGGGGGGTGGGAAATGGGGGTTTGGGGGTGAGAAATGGGGGTTTGGACAGGGGGAATGGGGTTTGGGGGGAAATGGGGTTTGGAGGGTGGAGGATGGGGTGGAAATGGGGTTTGGGGGGGAAATGGGGGTTTAGGAGTGGGAAATTGGGTTTATGAGGTGGGAAATGGGGTTGCAGAGTAGGAAATTGGGGTTAAGGGGTGGGAAATGGGGGTTTGGGGGTGGGAAAAGGGGTTTGGAGTGTGGGAAATGGGGTCCCAGAGGTACAAAAAGGGACTCAGGGAGTGGGAAATAGGATTTGGAAGTTGGGAAATGGGGTTCGAGGGGTGAAAAATGGGGTTTAGGGGTGAGAAATGGGGTTTACAGGGTGGGAAATGGGGTCCCGGAGGTACCAAACGGGGTTTAGAGGATGCGAAATAGGGTCTGGGGGCACAAACCCAGGCTGAGGGCTCCAGGGGTGCAAACCATGGCTGGGGGGTGGCAAAGGGGGGTGTGTGGGGCACAAACCTGGGCTGGACCCCCCCCAACCCAGTGTCCCCCCTACCTCTGGGGACTCTGCCCGCTGGTCCATGGGGATGTCCTGGCCCAGGGACATGGCGATGGCGCGCATCATCTGGTCCTCCTCTGACATGCTCAGGTCCTTAGGGAAGGCCAAAAGGAGGGATGAGGGGCTGGGAAAGGGGGCAGGAATGATGGAAGGGGGGGGGTCCCCCTTAACCCCATTTGCACCCCATTCTTACCCGTACGACCCCCCCCATAAGGGGAGGAGGGTGGGTGAGGAGGTACTCGGTGGCTTGCTCCATGGTGTTGGTGTTGAGCAAGGCTTCCATAGCGTGCTCCCGGGAGAACCCCATGTCCATCAGCTGGGGAATAGGGATGAGAAGGGGATAAAGTGGGATTTGAGGGGGCAAAGGGGGATTTAGGGGAACAAAGAAGGATTTGGGGGGACAAAGAAGGGGATTTGGGGACCACAGGGTTGTTATGGAGGATCCAAAGGAGGTTTGAGAGCAGCAGAATGGTACCAAGGGCATCAGGACCACAAGGAAAGGGTTTGGGGGTGCCAAATACATCAGGACCACAAGGAAAGGATTTGGGGGTGCCAGGATCATCAGGACCACAAGGAAAGGGTTTGGGGGTGCTGGGAGCATCAGGACCACAAGGAAAGGGTTTGGGGGTGCCAAAAGCATCAGGACCACAAGGAAAGGGTTTGGGGGTGCCGGGAGCATCAGGACCACAAGGGAAGGGTTTGGGGGTGCCAAAAACATCAGGACCACAAGGGAAGGGTTTGGGGGTGCCGGGAGCATCAGGACCACAAGGAAAGGGTTTGGGGGTGCTGAGAGCATCACGAATACCAGGAATGGATCAGGGGGTGCTGGGAGCACCAGGACCACAAGGAAAGGGTTTGGGGGTGCCGGGACCCCACAGGGGATGGGGGGGGGGTCCCCACCTGCTGCAGCTGCTGTTGGTTGACCTGGGGCTCCCTGCGGGGTCCCCCCTCCTCGGTGCCCGGCTCCTCCTCGGCGCGGGGCCCCTCTCGCTCGCGGCCCAGGCGCTCCCGGATGAGGGGCTCCCCACGCAGGATGTGGCACAGGATGGCCAGCATGGACTCGGCCATGCGGCCCCCGTACACCTTGAGCGGGCGCCGGTTCCAGAGCTGCTTGATGCACGTGAAGGCGGCCTGCAAGGGAGCGGATTTGGGGTGAAAAGGGGAGGATTTGGGGTTAAAGAAGGAAATTTAGGGTGAAAGGAGAATATGTAGAGTGGAAGGGGGAGAATTCAAGGCAAGGAATGGGACGTTTGGTATGACAAGGATTTGGGGTTAAAACGGAAGTATTTGGGGTTAAGGAAAGGGACGTGGAGTGAGAAAGCAAGATTTGGGTAAAGGCGGAAAATTTGGGGTGAAAAAGGGAGAATTTGGGGTTAGAGAAGGAAATTTAGGGTGAAAGGAGAAGATGTAGAGTGAAAGGGGGAAGATTCAAGGCAAGGAATGGGACGTTTGGTATGAGAAGGATTTGGGGTGAAAAAGGAAGTATTTGGTGTTAAGGAAGGAGATGTGGAGTGAAAAAGCAAGATTTGGGTAAAGGAGGAAAATTTGGGGTGAAAAGGGGAGATTTGGGGTTAGAAAAAGAAACTTACGGTGAAAAAAGATTTAGAATGAAAAGAAAAAGAATAAAGGGAAAGAATGGGACATTTGGTATACCAAGAATTTGGGATGAAAACGGAAGTATTTGGGGTTAAGGAAAGGGATGTGGAGTGAAAAGCAAGATTGGGGTAAAGGAGGAAGATTTGGGGTGAAAAAGAGGAGATTTGGGGTTAGAGAAGGAAATTTAGGATGAAAAGATTTAGAATGAAAGGGGGAAGAGTCAATGCAAAGAATGGCGCATTTGCTGTAACAAAGTTTTGGGGTGAAAAAGGAAATATTTGGTGTTAAGGGAAGAAATGTGGAGTGAAAAAGCAAAATTTGGGACAAAGAAAGAAGATTTGGGGTAAAAAGAGGAGATTTGGGATGAAGGAGAGGAAATTGGGGATAAAAGGGAAACGATTTGGGGTAGGAATCTGGGGACCCCCATCCCATCTCCCTCCCATCCCATGAGCCCCCTTTACCCCCCCCAATTCCCTTCTACACCTCCTTTGCCCCCCATCCCCACCTTCTGGGTGACGACCAGGAAGCGCAGGGCACTGAAATGGGGGGTGCCGTGGGTGGGGGCCTTGGCTGGCAGCGCATGGGGGGACTCCAGCACCGTGCTGGGGTTCACCATCTTCTCCACCAGCATCAACCACGCGTCCAGGAACTCCCCAGTGCCATCGGGGAGGTCGGGATGCTCCAAGCCTTCCGCTACCGGTACTTTGCCCCCCATGGACAGGGCCCAGTTGAAGGTCCTGGGGGATAGGGAATACAATGGTGGTGATGGGGGGGGGTACCCCGATATTTGTCTGCCCCCCCAGGGTTGGATGTGGGGCTGCACTCACTCGAAGAGGGCGTTGTGGCCCCCCGAGCACAGGAACTTCTGCAGCATGAGGTGATAGGGGAACTTGCGCTCGTCGAAGAGCATGGGAGAGGTGAAGCCCACGGAGCAGATGAAGAAGGTCAGGCTGAGGAGGAAGAGGAGGAGATGGGGGGGTGTCAGGCCCCACAGGCCCCATACATAAGACCCTGCTTCTCCCCTATCCCAAGCCTAGGGAAAGGGGAAGCAAGCCCAACCCTTTCCCCTTAGCTCCACCCCTCATTCTTGGCTCCGCCCCCCCAAGCCTCAGCCCAGCCCCTCACCCTTGGCACCACCCCTTACAGCTCCACCATTGGCCCTTGACCTCCCGTTGGTCATGCAAGCCTCTAGACCACCCTTCAAGCCCCGCCCCTTTCAGCCCCACCCCATTCCCTTGGCTCCACCCTCCCCACCCCAGCCCCACCCTTCCTCATGCACCCCTCTCCCATTGGCTCCTCCCCTGGATCCACCCCCTCAAGCCCCACCCCTTTCAGCCCCACCCCATTCCCTTGGCTCCACCCTCCTCATCCCAGCCCCTCCCCCTCACTTTGGCCCCACCCCTCTCCTGGATCCACCCCCTCAAGCCCCACCCCTTTCATCCCCACCCCATTTTCTTGGCTCCACCCTCCCCACCCCAGCCCCACCCTTCCTCATGCACCCCTCTCCCATTGGCTCCTCCCCTGGATCCACCCCCTCAAGCCCCACCCCTTTCAGCCCCACCCCATTCCCTTGGCTCCACCCTCCTCATCCCAGCCCCCCCCCCTCACTTTGGCCCCACCCCTCTCCTGGATCCACTTCCTCAAGCCCCACCCCTTTTAGCCCCACCCCTCCTCATGCCTTTATTGGCCCCTCCCCTGGATCCACCCCCCACAAGCCCCACCTTTTTTAGCCCCACCCCATTCCCTTCGCTCCACCCTCCTCATCCCAGCCCCGCCCCTTCCTTGGCCCCACCCCATTCCCTTGGCTCCACCCTCCCCAGCCCCGCCCCTTCACTTTGGCCCCACCCCATTCCCTTGGCTCCTCCCTCGCCAAGCCCCGCCCCTCACCGGAAGCGCGGGGTGGGGGTGTAGGGGGGGGGCTGCCAGCTCAGCCCCTTGGTCAGGAGCTTGGTGAGGGCCGAGGCCGTGGCTCGGGCCGCGGGGGTCGGGGCGGGGGCGGCGGCGGCCGCGTGGTGGCTGCGGCGCTGGCGCACGGGGGAGCCCACGCAGAGCTTCACCAGGAGCCCAAAGAGCTCGGCCAGGGCCCGGCCCAGGCGCGAGGAGGCTGCGGGGGGGAAGGGGGGCAGCGGGGTCAGCAACGGGGATGGGTACAGAGGGAGACCAGTACAGCAATGAACACCCACAAAGGGACCCCAATACAGCACAGAGGGAGCCCAATACAGGAACTGAGGGACCCCAAATACAGCACAGAGGGACCCCAAATACAGCACTGAGGGACCCCAGTACAGGCACAGAGGGAACCCAATACAGAACAGAGGGACCCCAGTACAGGCACAAAGGGACACCAAATACAGCACAGAGGAACCCCAAAAACAGCACAGGGGGACCCCAAATACAGCACAGAGGGACCCCAAATACACCACAGAGGGACCCGAAAAACAGCACAGGGGGACCCCAAAAACAGCAATGAACACCCACAAAGGGACCCCAATCCAGGCATAAAGGGACCCGAAAAACAGCACAGAGGGACCCCAAAAACAGCACAAAGGGACCCCAATACAGACACAAAAGGGACCCCAAATACAGCAACGAACACCCACAAAGGGACCCCAATACAGCAACGAACACCCGCAAAGGGACCCCAAATACAGCCCCAAGGGACCCCAAATACAGACCCAAGGGACTCAAATAGAGCCCTAAGGGACCCCAAATAGAGCCCTAAGGGACCCCAAACAGAGCCCTAAGGGACCCCAAATACAGCCCTAAGGGACCCCAAATACAGCCCCAAACCCATGGGAACCCCCAAACCGAACCCATGGAGCCCCCAACCCCCTGCAGCTCCATCCCTGGGGACGCTCAGATCCCCCCCAAGGGCTGGTTTTGGGGTACCCCCCCCCTTACCAGAGAGCAGGGGCTTGATCTGCTTGATGCGAGCTGCCATGGCTGGGGTGATCTTGGCCTTGGCTTTGGGGTCGGTGGCACTGGGCTCGTCCGTCTCCATAGGGGCCAGAGCCTCACTCTCCAGCCCCATCCCTTCCAATAGGCCCTGAGATGGGGGGGGGTCCCCAGCACCCCCAGAGCCCCCCGGCACCGGGGTCTCTGCTTCACCCTCTAGGGAATGGAGGGGATAAAGGTGAGCACCCCCAAAGTGTTCATCCCATAACCCATAGACACCCCTTTCCCTCTTAAAGACCCCTCCACAACAAAGACCCCCCCCTTTTCCTATAGGCCCCCATAAATAATCCTTAAAGACCCCTCCACAAAGACCCCCCCCTTTTCCTATAGGCCCCCATAAATAACCTCCCCCATTCTAAGACCCTCCAAAAGGGCCCTCCATTACACTATGAACCCCCCCAAGACCCTCCCTACCACTGAAGCCCCCCCATTACTAAGCAACCCCCCCATAGACCCCAATTCCCCTATGGGATCCCCCCTTTTTCCTCTTCAGACTCCCCCTCCTCCCTTAAAGACCCCCCCTTTTCCCACTGTCCCCCCCCCCCCCCCAAGATGCTCTCAACCCTTTTTCATTCAAGATTCACCCCAAAACCACCCCCCCATCCCCCCCTGGACCCCCCCCATATCCTACCTGCCCTCTTCCCCCCCTGGGGGGGGCTGGGGGCCGCCTTCTCCTCCTTGGGTACCAGTTTCTGCATGTCGGCCTGCCCGAACTCACAGCCTGGGGGGAGGCTGGGGGGGGAATGGGGGTCACTGGGGTGCTCCATGGGGTGGGGGAGGGAGGTCCTCAGCACCCCAAAGACCTCCTCCCCCACCCACAATATCTCATAGGGGTGAGGATGCTCCTCCCCCTTCATTTGCATTCCCCAAACCCCTCCCAGGCCCCCAGGATCGCCCTCAACCACCCCAAGCCCCCCTCTCAACCCCCCACCAAGACCCTCTCCATGCCCCCCTCCAGTCCCCAATAGCCCCTCCATGCCCACCATAGACCCCCCTCAATCCCTAGACCCTCTCCATGCCCCCCCGTCCCCCATAGCCCCTCCTCAACCACCCCAAGTCCCCTTTAAGATGCTCCTCCACCCCCCAAACCCCCCCAAGACCCTCAACCCCCCAAGACCCCCTCCATGCCCCCCACAGACCCCCGTCAATCCCCCCAAGACCCCCTCCATGCCCCCCACAGACCCCCCTCAGACCCTCTCCATTTACCCCAGTACCCCATAGCCCCCCCTCCCCCAGACCCCCTCCATGCCCCCCATAGCCCCCCTCACCCCCCCAAGACCCCCTCCATGCCCCCCAGACCCCCTCCATTCTCCCCCCAGTCCCCCATAGACCCCCCTAAACTCCCCAAGACCCCCTCCATGCCCCCCATAGCCCCCCCTCACCCCCCCAAGACCCCCTCCATGCCCCCCACACCCCCTCCATTCTCCCCCCAGTCCCCCACAGACCCCCCTTAAACCCCCTTTAAGATGCTCAACCCCCCCCTTAACCCCCCCCACCCCACCTATTTGGGGTGCAGAGGGAGAGCAGCACCGTGCTCTCCCACACCAAGGAGCAGTAAAGCTGACTCAGCTTGCCCAGAACACTCAACCCCAACTGGGAGCCCCATTGGTTCACGGAGATGGCCCGGATCTCACTCTGAGAATGGGGTGGGACACACACAAACACCACGCATTAAACCCCTTCCCATCGCCATGGGTGCCCCCCGTCAATAATGGGGTGTATGGGGGGGGTGCTTTACCTGCCCCACGCGGCACGTGTGCACGAACATCATGATGTAGGCATGGGCTGCGGTGAGGGCGTGGAGCAAGGGGGTGGCCTGAGCCGAGAGGGTGGCATCGGGGACGCTGCCGGCCCCCGCCAGCTCCCGCAGCAGCACCGAACCCCCCGGGGCCTCGATGGGCCGGTGCAGGGGCTCCAGGGCTGAGAGCACGGCCTCGAGCTGCAGCAGCCCCTCCTGCAGCACCTTGGGCTCGTGGGACAGGGTCTGGGGGGGGGAAGAGGGGGGGAAGGAGGGGGAAAGAAGGGGGAAAGAAGGGAAAGAAGGGAAAGAAGGGAAAGAAGGGAAAGAAGGGAAAGAAGGGGGAAAAGAGGGGGAGGGAAGGGGAAGGAAAAGGGGGGGAAAGGGGAAGGAAAAGGGCAGGAGGAAAAGGGGGAGAAAAAGGGGAAGGAAAAGAGGGGAAAAGGGGGGGGAATGGAAAAAGGGGAAGGGGGAAGAGGGGAAAAGGGGGGAAAGGGGAGGAAAAGGGGAAGGAAAGGGGGGGAAAAGAAGGGAGAAGGGGGAAGGAAAGGGGGAAGGAAAGGGGGAAGGGGAAAGGGGGAAGGGGAAAGGGAAATAAATGAAAAGAGAAAGGAAAAAAGGGGAAAACGAAAAAGGAGGAAAAAAGGGAAAGAAGGGGAAAAAAGGAAAACAAAGAGGAAAAGGGAAAGAAGGGAGAAAAAAGAAAAGAAAGGGGAAAGGAAAGAAAAGGGAAAGGGAAAGGGAAAAAGAGGGAACAAAAAAGGAAGGAAAAGGAATAACAGAACAAAACCAGCTTAGTATTTGGAAACAAACCCTCAAAATTTGCAAGTGGGACTCAAAATTGAAAGTGGAAATTTGAAAATTTGAGGGGAGTATAAAATTTGACAGGAAAACCTTAAATTTTGGGGGAAACACCTTAATATTTGGAAAAAAGCTTAAAATTTTGAGAACAAAACAAGAGAATTTGGCAAAACCCAAAGGAATAAAGCGTGTTAATGGAAAATTTGGGGAAACAGAAAAAAAAATCAGGGAAATCCTGAAATTGGGAGGGGGAAATCCCCAAATTTGATGGCAAAACTCAAAATTTGGAGATAAAACCTCAAATTTCAGCAGGAAAAACCTCCGAATGTGGAGGGAAATACAAAAACCCAGTGGGGAAATCAAAATGAAAACGGGAATTATGGGAATTTTAAGAGGAAAACCCACATCTGAAGGGGAAAAGTTGGAATTTGGGAGGAATAAACTGCGAAATTTGGAATTTGAAGGGAAAACATTAGAAATTGAGGGGAAAAATTGGAATTTAGAGGGGAAAATCCGCATTTCCCCTTTTTGGGAAGATCTCCCTGCATCTTTTTGGGACCTCCCCCCCCGCCACCATCCCATCACCCCCTTTTTGATCTCCCATTTACCTTACCCAGAGTGGGGGGGGGGAATGGTACCAGCACCCTCCTGCTCCCCCCCACCCTTTTAGGCCCCCCCATTCCCATACCAGGATGGATTTGCAGACCCCCGCCACGGCCTGGCAGGCTGCGGATGTGGGGAAGTCCACGGGCAGGTTGGGAAGGCCCAGGATGGTGACGAGGGGCCGGAGCCCCCGCTGGGCCACGAACTCCTGGCAGTGGTCATCGGTGGTGTTGTTGCTGAGGATGGATTCCACGAACTTCATCTGGGAAACACAGGGAATGGGGGGGAAAAAGGAGGAATTCGGGGATTTGGGGTGTCCCAAGCATCCCAATGACCCCTTAATGGGGGGGAGGGGGTGAAAAAGGAGGAATTCTGGGATTTGGGATGTCCCAAGCATCCCAATGACCCCTTAACAAGGGGAAGGGGGGAAAAGGAGGAATTCTGGGATTTGGGATGTCCCAAGCATCCCAATGACCCCTTAATGGGGGGGAGGGGGGGAAAAAGGAGGAATTCTGGGATTTGGGGTGTCCCAAGCATCCCAATGACCCCTTAACAGGGGGGAGAAAGGAGGAATTGGGATTTGGGGTGTCCCAAGCATCCCAATGACCCCTTGGGAGCACTAGTTCCTCACCACATTGAGGATATAATCCATCAAGGGAATAGGGATTCGCTCCTCGGTGCCCACCACCCTGAAAGCAAAGAGAAAAGGGGGGGTCATTGAGAGCGTGTCCCCCCCTTTCAATGTCCCCTATTGAGTGTCCCCAACGATGCTCACTGCTGGCTGGGCTCGGCCTCGCTCTGCTGGGTAGCACTGAAGCTCTGCATGGCCTGAACTTCCTCTTCCTCCTCATCCTCACTGGAGGCTTCCTCTGCAGCATGGGGGGAGCGAGGGGGGGGGGCCGCTGCTGTCCCATCCGCTTTCTGCATCGAGGGCTTCTGGCAAATGTATTTGGGGTCCCGGCCCAGGCTGCAAATCTCCTCTAGGAGCTATAGGGAAGAGCTCAATGTAAGCAAAGGGGGGGTCCTTTTAAAGCAGGGGGGGTCCTGGTACCTTCAAGTGTGTCCCCCCCCAGTGTCACCTTGATGATGGCAGTGGTGGCATCAGTCTTGAGGGTGGGTTGGTGCCGCATCAGCTCGTCCACAGCGCTGCCCAGGTTGGAGGCTGTGTCTCCTATTGGGGACAAAGGGGGGAATAGAAGGGGTTTGGGGGGGTCCCTGTTAGAAACACATAAAGGGGGGTCCCCAAAATAAAGAGGAGAGGCCTAAAAGTGATCAACCCCCAATGAGAAGGGTGTTAATAGTGGGGAGATGGCTCCTTTTGGTGTAGGGATGGAGCTCCCAATGGATTTAAGGCATGGAATCAACCGGGTTGGAAAAGATGAATGGGATCATCAAATCCAACCCTTTACCCACGGCACTAAAAGCCCCATCCCCACACATTGGGAACACCTCCAGGGATGCTGATTCCACCTCTATTCCCTTGTTCCAAGCCCTGATCCCGCTTTTGATGGATAAACTCATCCCCATCCCCATTTAACCATCAACTGCTGCACCCTGAGGCCATTCCCTCTTCTCCCATCCCTTGGGAGCCACCTCTTGGCTCCATCCCCATGCCAAGCCCTTATAGAGCACAAGGCCCCCCTTTGAGCTATCTCCATCTAACCCCCCCCTTACTGAACCTAAAGAACCCCCCCAAACCAAATGACACCCCCAAAATCAAAGCCCCCCCCCCCCAAGGGCTCACCCAAGGGGTCGGAGCTGCGCCGTCGCCGCATGGCTGGGAGGTAGTCAGGGGACAGCAGCACCTTGAAGAGCCTCTCAAAGGGCTGGCACTGCACAAAGGACTGGAGCCCACGGGCATTGAGGCAAAGGGCACTGAAGACGTTGGGCAAGGAGCCCAGCACCTCCCGAGTGGCCGGGACCTGATGGGAAAGGTGGGGATGGATCCGTATCCATGGAATGATCCCTATGGAGAAGTGGGAAAAGGGGGGGGGGGGACACACACTCACATCCTTGATGAGGAGGGCATGGAGCATGACATCAGTGAGGCCATTGTCCTGCAGGGAAGAGAGCAGCGAAGGCTCCTGGAACACGAACACCGTCACCACCTCGGTCGCTGCGGCGGGAGGAGAGAGATGGGGGGCACTGAGGAGGGGGGGGGCGGCTGGATTGTCTTTTGGGGGGGGGGGTCCCCCCAAAGCCATTCCCATCCATTGATCCATCCATCCCCCCATATCCCTGTTTGGGGTTTGGGGGGTGATGCTCACCCAGGAGGAAGAGCGAGGGGCCGTAATACTCGGCGTTGCTGATGATGTGCTTCAGGGAGGTGGGCAGCGAGCCGTCCATCACTTCAATGGGGGGGGGTACATATAAAGGGGTGAGGGGGTGATGCCCCCCCCTTTGCCTTCATGATGGGGGACACTGGGGGATGCTCACCATGACGGATACCATCGGAGAAAGCAGGATCTTGGATGGCTTTCTTAAGGAAGTTCAGCATGGATTTGAGCAGGGCGGCGCGTTGAGGGATGCACTGGACTCCTAGGGAGGGGTTGGGTACCACATATAAAGGTGTGAACCCCCCCCTCTCCATAGTGTCCCCATTGTCCCCAATGCCAACGTGTCCCCTACCTCCCCGTGGCGAGGAGGTGGTGGCAGTGCTGGTGCTGGGCACAGCAGCGGTGCTTGAGGATGGGGCTGGCTCCTGGCGGGCTTCAGCCGAGGGACCGGGGCTCCCCTCCATGGCCACATCGGTCACTATGGGGGTGACGGTGACAATGAGAGGGGTGACATCAATGGGGGTGTCACCCCCCCCCCCTTTACTCCTGTCCCTCTGCTCACCTTCCATGTCCGTCTCCATCTCCTCGCCCTCGGGGAGGGTGGCAGCAGGGGGACGCTGCACCTTGGGCTTGATGACGAAGGGGCACTCGCAGCGGCACAAATCCACCTCATGCTAAGGGGGGGAGTGGAGGAAGAAAGAGCCTCAGCACCCCCAAAAAGACACCCAGGGACCCCCAAAATGGGGGTGAGGGGGGTACCTCGAGGCGGTAGATGAAGATGGAGAGGCCGCTGTGGGACTGGAAGGCTGCCATGTCCAGGTTGGTGATGAGATCCACCACCCGCACGGCTCTGGTGACGAAGGTGATCTGGTCCTGCTCGTCCCCCAAGAACTTGATCACCTTTTGGGGGGGGGCATAAAGCAATAGAAAGGATTCAAAGGGGATCCCCCAACACATCAATGGAGACCCCAACCCCTTGGGGTAACTCAGGGCTCACCTTTAGCAGCGCTTCCATCATCCCACAGGAGACCAAGGCCTCGCCGCCGGCGTCGTAGCTGGCCAAGTGGTAGAGGAAGGAGAAGAGCGCGGTGGCGAACTGGTGGGGATAGGGCTCCATGGAGGGGTCTGGGGGGCAGGAGGGTGTTAAGGGGGGGTTTAACACCCCCCATAATCATATTGAATGGGATCCCCCCCCCCTTCCATCCCATAGGAACCCACCAATCATGGCTTGGATGCAGTTGCGGACCAGGACGGGGAGGAAGCCGTGGTAGGAAGCGGTACCGGTGCAGTCAATGATGCTGCTCAGCTTTGGGGTGCGCTCCAGATGGACGATAGAGGTGAGGGTCCGTAAGGAAGCTGCTTTAATGTCCTGGGGGGGGAACAGGGATGAGGTTGGGGGTGGTTTGGGGGTGCTGGGGGGGTGAATTTGGGGTTCCTCCTCACCATAAGTTGTTTGTCAGTGATTTGGAGCACGTCCACCAGCTCCTCGATGAGGCCGTTGTAGAGGATGCTGTTGGCTGACTCCTGTAGGGCATTGGAGTACACTGCCAAGGGAAAAGGAGGAGGTCACCTAATAAAGCCCCCCTAAAATCATTCACACCCCCCCATTAAAACAACCCCTTCCCCTCATTAACCCCCCTTCATTAACCCTTAAGAAGCCCCTACCCAGTATGGAGATGGCGTGGAGCCGGGCTTGCACCGCTTGGAGCCGCTTCTTGTGGTTGGAAAAGCCATGGGCCAGGCGGATGTGGGTGAACAGAAGCATCTGGGGGGGGCACACACACACACACAAAAGGATTTGGGGGGGTCACCAGAGCATTTCACCCCCCAAAACCCGTGGCTGCCCCCTTGTTGTGGCCCCGCTCACCTGCTTGTCTTTGGGGATGCTGTACATCTTAGTGAGGGACTCCATGATCTCTGAGGGGCTCTCTGAAATCTGGGGGGGGTATGGGGAAAATGGGGGTGCAGAGGGAGGAATGGAGGGGGGGTGTTAGGGAAAGAGGCTCAAATTGAAGGAGAGCACCCCCAGAATCAACGCTGCCCCCCCAGAACACTCACCTTGTCCAGTTGCTCGATGTGGATGTAGTGTAGGGTGGTGCTGGTGGCCTGTTGGGGGGTAAAGGGGGGTTAAGGGGGGCTTAAGGGGGGATAAAGGGGGGGGCAAAGGGGGGTAAAAGGGGAGTTAAAGGGGGTAAAGGGGGGGCAAAGGGGGGTAAAGGGGGGTAAAGGAGGGGCACAGGGGGGTAAGGGGGGTAAAAGGGGGTAAAAGGGGGGTAAAAGAGGGGTAAAAGGGGGGTAAAAGGGGGGTAAAACGGGGGTAAAACGGGGGTAAAAGGGGGGTAAAAGGGGTCCCAGTGTTATAGCCCCCCCCCATGTCCCCAAATGTCCCCTGTCCCCCATCACTCACCCTCTTGTCCACCTTCACCTCGACGCCCGGCTCGGCGTAGAACTCAAAGTGAAGGGTGGTGGCACTGGGGGGGTACTTCTGGGGGGGGGACATGGGGGTGAGAGAAGGGACGGTGCTGTCCCCCCCCCACCCCAGGTGATGTGGGGACACAAGAGGGGGGACAGGGTCAGGTTTGGGGGCTCAAGAGGGGGGACAAGATGGGGTTTGGGGGGACAACAGGGGTGACAAGATCAGGTTTGGGGGGAGAAGAGGGGGTCTGGGGACACAAGAGGGGTGACAAGATGGGGTTTGGGGGGACAAGATGGGGTTTGGGGACACAAGAGGGGGGACAGAGTGGGGTTTGGGGGAACAAGAGGGGGCACAAGATGGGGTTTGGGGGGCAGGAGGATTTGGGGGGACAAGAGGGTGACAAGATGGGGTTTGGGGACATAGGACAAGGGACAAGAGGGGGTTTGGGGGGGACAAGATGGGGTTTGGGGGGACAAGAGGGGTTTGGGGGCACAAGAGGGGTGACAAGATGGGGTTTGGGGGGACAAGAGGGGGTTTGGGGGACAAGAGTGGGTTTGGGGGGATGAGAATTTGGGGACAGATGGGGTTTGGGGGGACAAGAGGGGGTTTAAGGGCACAAGAGGAATGACAAGATGGAGTTTGGGGGACAAGATGGGGTTTGGGGGGACAAGAGGGGGTTTGGGGGGACAAGAGGGGGTTTGGGGGGACAAGAGGGGTGACAAGATGGGGTTTGGGGGGACAAGAGGGGGTTTGGGGGGACAAGAGGGGTGACAAGATGGGGTTTGGGGGCACAAGAGGGGTGACAGGGTCATGTTTGGGGACACAAAAGACCTGGGGGGACCCCCAGGTGCAATAAGGCTGATAGAACACTGTTGGGGCCACCCCCCTGGCCACGACAGGCGGACACAGGATATGACCCCCAGGGACAGGCCGCTTATGGGGCACCCCCAAACCCCCCCACTCACCATCATGTGCAGGTCCCGGCAGCACTCAGCCAAACCAAATCCGTTCTCTTTTCCTCCCCAACTCTACAGGGAAACAGCAACCAAACACCCCCAAAATGAACCCAAAACCTGAGGGGGATGTGGGGGACCCCCTCAGAAAGGGGGGTGCAGTGTCTGCCCCCCCAAACTGACCTCAGCCAAGTGCTGGAGGCGGGATAAGAGGGGGCTCCTCTTGTCGGAGCCCAAGCGGGTGATGTAGTTGGAGCGCTTGCTGAAGACATAGAGCAGGTTGAGCACGGCCAGCACCACCTGCATGTCCGAGGAGGCCAAGAGCGTCGTGAGGTGCTGTGACGGGGACAAGGAGAGGCAATGAGGGACAGGGAACGGTGCCAGTGCTGGCCCAGGGGCGATCCCAGGCTCCAAACTGGGGGGTGGTGGGGTTGGGGTTGAGGGGGGAGGAATGGGGTTGATGGGGTAAAGGGGGGAGGTGATGGGGGGGGCTAAAGAGGAGATTGATTGATGGTGGGTAATGGGGGGGTGGGAATAGGGGATGGGATTGGAGGGGAAGGGATGGGGCCCATT